CAACTTCCTCCGTGTCACCTGCGAACATCGAAGTCCACGGAGATTCCTGCCGTATTTCATCCGTCATCCTGACCATCACCATTGCAAACAGGAATGGCCTTGGAGCCGATCTCTAATGCCATTCTACCTCCGCCTTGTCTACCGTATACCTCGCTGATCTCACAATGACCTTGGACATACCTTGCACCCTCACATAGTGTCACTCCGGACATCATGCAGTACCATAACCATGATGATGATGATGATGATGATGATGATGATGATGATCATCATCATCATCATCATCATCATCATCATCATCATCATCATCATCATCATCATCATCATCATCATCATCATCATCATCATCAGAATTATTATTATTGCCGTCACCCTTCTTAGTATTAGTATTGCTATTGGTGTTACACTTGATATCACCATCTTTATTACTATCCTCCTTCTTTTCCTCCCCATTACCATCATCTGTGCTGACTTAATATCCTGCTCCTTAGGTGGCCATCAGTAACGCTGTTCCCGTCGCGAGTCCTCCGGAGCACCCCCCCCCCCGTCAGAAACCAACCTTTTCCTGGTCTGATACCAATATCCCCGTGTCAGAAACCATCCTCACCCGAATCAGAAACCAACCTTTCCAGCTCAGAAACCAATCTCCCCGGGCCAGAAACCATCCTCCGGGTCAGAAACCACTCTCCCCGGGTCAAAAACCGTCCTCCGGGTCAGAAACCACTCTCCCCGGGTCAAAAACCGTCCTCCGGGTCAGAAACCAACCTCCCCGAGTCCTCCGGGCCAGACTACCTCCCGAGCCAGAAACCCAATCCTCCGGGCCAGAAACCAACCTCCGTGTCTTCTGACGAGCGACCGCCATGACCTCAAATGCTCAAGAATTTCTTGATTCAGTGCATTAGTATTAGAGTTGACAACATCTTGATGCATTTTTGTTGATGGATATTTTAGCGCTTTATTTGTGCAATAGCTGGTTTGACGAAGGTAACATTTGAAAGAACTTTGTTAAGCATTCGTGAGTAAAAAGCGAGTTTTTCGGACATGTTTTAGTGAGAATGCTCACGTTTGAATTTTTTTTTATTGTATGTATGTACCATATTTTATGCGTCATTTAATCAGCGTGTGTGCCATTTGCCTGAAGTGCAGCGATGACAAGAACAGCAGGCAGAAATTGGCCCAGGAAGTGGCAACAGTTTCTCCTCAATAAGCGCAGTATTTTTTTGCAATATTCTAGATTGGCTTATTTGTTTCTCTCTGAAGCCCACGCCTCTCACTGAACCCCATGTTGTCTCTCGCTGAAGCCCATGTTGTCTCTGAGTGTTGGGCGCCGGGATCCTTCGCTGTTTTGCGCTTCTTGACTTCGGTCGCGGAGTCGCTGCGCTGCGGCCCGGTGACGCCGGATGAATGGGAGGGACACGGTAGAAGCAGCCAGCGCAAGCCTCCGCCGCCGCCAGAGGTCGCTGCCCCAGAATCCTGAGCTTGAACTGAATCAACACTAATCTAGAAAGATAAAACCATAAGTATATGTATATATATATATATATATATATATATATATATATATATATATATCTGTGTATGTGTGTGTGTGTGTGTGTGTGTGTGTGTGCGTATGTGTGTGTGTGTGTGTGTGTGTGTATGTGTGTGTGTGTGTGTGTGTGTGTGTGTGTGTGTGTGTGTGTGTGTGTGTGTGTGTGTGAGTATGTATGTATGAATGAATGTATGCACGTATGTGTATATACATATATATAATATATATATATATATATATATATATATATATATATATATATATATATATATATATATATAGACTGCCGCGATAGCTCAGTGGTTAGAGCACTGGACTCCGACCAACGTGGTCCCGGGTTCAATTCCCCGTCGCGGCAATCGTAAAAATGCCTGCGCTCTGACTGCTTGCTCGAACGACATATCACCTTGAGAAGTCAGACGCAGGTGTCGTAGGGGAAGTCACCGCCGTGGCACAAGTGTTAACGCGCCGAACCGCGGTTGATTAGGAAGGGCATTCAATCAGGCAAGGGTGACACTGCCATATAACCTCTCAATACTGAATTGAGAGAGGCCTATGTCCTACAGTGGAATGAATGGCTGTTGAAAAAAAATATATATATATATGTATATATTTATATATACATATATATATATATATATATATATATATATATATATATATATATATATATATATATATATATATATATATATATATAATACAATATATATCATTTATAATCTATATATTATATATATGTATATGTATATGTACATGTACATAATATGTATGTATATATTATGTATGTATACATTATGTATGTATAGATCTATCTATCTATATATGTACATACTATATACATATGTACATACATGCATATAGATATATGTATATGCATATATATATACATGTATATATTTATGCATATAGGCTATATGAACCGTATTCATCTTGACAAGTGTAGAAAAGATATATATGAATATATATATGAATATATATATATATAGAATATATATATTCATATATAGAAAAAGTATGAATGAGAATGAATATCTTTACAATACAAGAGCTTGTTTAACCGCATTTCGATTATATCTTATATACACCTATACATATGCATACATACATACATATACATACATATATAAATACTTAAATACAGTACTGACATAATTGTTGAAAGCAACTTAAAATTTCCTAATTTTGTTTCCGTACATTATTAAGGACATGGTATTAGTAACCAGAACAGCCACCCTTAGCCTTAAGCTCTGCAGTGACGCCGTTTGGCCTCGAATGTACCGACAGGCCTTTTCCCTGATTTCTGGCTTTCATGCCATACCTACATAAATCGTTCAGTTAACTCAACTTAATGCATTCTACTTGGCTTATTTCGTTTTTCGTGTCTTTCCATAAACATCCCTTAGGATCCCATCTCATGTAACTTTTTTCCGACTGTTTTTTTTCGACGCGATAGTTCTCTCATTCATTAGCCAGTCGTTTGGATGACTTTGAGCGATCCTGTTTAACCATATTTACAAGCATTCTGTCCTGTCGATTGATGGTTTGTAAACTTTCTTGGGTATTTCTCTTTGGTTTAGAGACGTTTCTTGGAGATCAACTTCAACAGAAGAAAAAAATGTGGCCGACTCGGATCCTTTCCTCGGAGCCAGTGCATGTTGTACGTTATGTGAGAAATAAAGCTGGAAACAGGGTCACATGCCTTTTGTGACACCTTGTGAAGAACGACGGAACGCTAGCAAAACCTCTAAACTATTGGAAATGGGCTTGTTATCATTTGTTTAGCTTACTTAGTAAATTTCTAAATACTACAGAGAATAATCGATCCCAAACAATAAACCACATGATCTTTTTCATTGTTTATACTGCACAGAACCCAAAAGAAGATAAGAAAAACGCAATATCCGTAGTCTTAAAAGTGCCTGCGCTCCGACTGATGCCTCGAGCCCAATCTCACAGCGAGAAAACGACATATCGCTTTGAGAAGTTAAAGCACACTTGGCAAAAGTGAAGAACCACGGTTGATTAGGAAGGGCATGCAATCAGGCAAGGTTGGTACTGCCAAATAGCCTGTTTCCTGCAGTGGAATAAATGACTGTTGAAATATATGTTTTATATATATATATATATATATATATATATATATATATATATATATATATATATATATTTATATATATATATATATATATATCTTCGTCAGAAATACGTGTATTTCTGACGAAGATATAATCGAAACATACACATATACATACACATATACACGTATTTCTGACGAAGATATATATCTCTTGTATTGTGAAGATATTCATTCTCATTCATACCTTTTTTACATTTGTCAATATGAATACGGTTCATATATATATATATATATATATATATATATATATATATATATATATATATATATATATATATATATATATATATATATATATATATACATATACATATATATACATATTCATATATATATATATATATATATATATATATATATATATATATATATATATATATACATATATATATAATATATATACATATATATACATATATATACATATATATACAATATATATATATATATATATATATATATATATATATATATATATATATATATATATATGTATATTTTTTTTTCTTTTTTTTTTTTCTTCTTTTAACAGCCGTTCATTCCACTGCAGGACATAGGCCTTTCTCAATTCAGTATTGAGAGGTTATTTGGCAGTGTCACCCTTGCCTGATTGAATGCCCTTCCTAATCAACCGCGGTTCGGCGCGTTAACACTTGTGCCACGGCGGTGACTTCCCCTACGACACCTGCGTTTGACTTCTCAAGGCGATATGTCGTTCGAGCAAGCAGTCAGAGCGCAGGCATTTTTACGACCGCCGTGACATGGAATTGTCCAGTGCTTTAACCATTGGACCATCGCAGCAGTCATATAATATATATATATATATATATATATATATATATATATATATATATATATATATATATATATATATATATATATATATTCATACATACATACATATATATATATATATATATATAATATATATATATATATATATATATATATATATATATATATATATATATATATAAATATATATATATATATATATACACACATTATATGTGTGTGTGTGTGTGTCTCCCAGTTATGACTAATAGATGAAAAACATGAACCACAACCAAATTACTGGAGAGGAAATTAATAAGTGCTCAGAGAGAGATATGGAAAGGTTGATGCTGGGAATTAGCCTAAGAGATCGGGTGAGGGCGACGTGGATTAGGGAACAGACAAAAGTGGAAAATGTACTTGGGAACATCAAAAAGAAGAAATGGCAATGGACAGGTCATATATGTCGGAGACAGGACAACAGATGGACAAAATAAAGTAACAGACTGGACTATAGATAATATACAGAGGCCAAGAGACAGACCAGTGGTAAGGTGGTGTGACGAAATGACGAAATATGGGCCCAAAACTGGAAACAAAAATCGCAAGACAGACAAGGTTGGAAAAGATTGGGAGAGACCTACGTCCAGCAGTGGATTGATTCAGGCATATATGTATATGTATATGTATATATATACATATATATATGTGTGTGTGTTTATGTATTTACATATGTGTGTGTGTGTGTATATATCATCATCATAAGGGGGCATACGCATGGCTGCGCTTTGCCACACCCACCCTTTGCCTCCACCTCCTGGGGTCCCTCCGAGCAAGCTTCCATGTAGCATTCCTTTCCACTCCCACCACAGATCAGATCGACTTGCTTCAGCCATGAGTTCCGTGGCCTTCCCCTTGGTCTTCTCCAGCCTGGGTCAACCAACAAGTCCCCAAATTCCTGAACCTTGGTGTTGGTCCAGCTACTTCCAGGACCTCCAATGTCTGCTAGAATCGCTGCATCGTCGGCAAAGTCAAGGTCTGTGACCTTGAAATTACCAATTGATGTTCCACAGGAACTACGGTCCACTGCACGGTCAAGTATCCAGTCCATACAAGTATTGAAAAGAGTTGGGGCCAGGACACATCCCTGTCTCACCCCGGCTGACACCAGGAAAAAGACAGAGATGCCCTCCCCACACTTGACAGCACTCTCGATATCTGTATACAGGCCAGACAGCAAACCAATAATTTCAGGGGGGATCTCACGGAGACCCAGTAGACTCCAGAGACTCTCCCGGTGCACTGAGTCGAGAGCCTTCTTGAGATCAACATAAGTTGCATGCATGCCTTGTTGAAACTCAAGTCGGCGTTCCACAAGGACACGAAGTGCTAAGACACGGTCTATAGTTGACTTCTTGG